AATACAAAAACATATTCCGTTCATTTTTGGCTATACTTACATCCCTTGGTGATTTTTTACCTCTGTACCTATATTCTGTCTGTGTCCATCTACCTGTATTTTCATCTCACTGCCGTCCTAATTGTGTCAGTCCATCTATTTTGAAAACAAACATCATCATCCACACATACATCAGATACACTTAACTGCTTCTAAACATCTCTTTATCATGTGTTTCTCTCAGATGATGATTGTGTTTCTGCTATGTATCTGTGTATATGCCTGTTTTTCTACGCATCTGTTGATTAGATCTGCCTCTAGCCATTATCCATTCATCTCTCACATATGCATTGGTTTTTTACTAATAGGTATCAAACATCGCTCGAAGAAGCTGATCAGTTGCGCACGAATTAAACACTGTAAAGCGCATGGGTAATATAAATAAACTAACAAGATGTTCCGGTAGTCATACAATAATCCTGGTTATCTGTATATAAAAAATGTCAGCTGTGAACCATTCTCTGACAAGGAGTCAAGAGTCCTTGACCACATGTACCAAAAAAAGGAAGTGAAGGAAAGTGTTGAACCGCTGGATTGTCGGTTTCCCTTACACTTTCGTGATGCGGTTATTTCTGGTTGCCTTCTTGTCATAAAGTTAATGGTGAGGCGATAATTTCTAATTTAATTTAATTTAATAATTTTCATGCCATTAGCCAAGAGTGTCCCATTTTAAAGGCCGAGTCTACAATCATGTGGCAAGCATAGTGTGTAGTCTACCACTTAATTTCCACACAGTCGTAGTCTCTTATGAACCATGAAAGGAAAAAAAGCGTACGACCCGCCAGGGGCTCGTACCGGGAATCTCTCGGCTCTGAGTCTGACGATCTACTGCGTCAGCAACCACGTACTGCTTTATCAACGTCAAGAAGAGGTAGTATTCAATAGAGGTTTCTCTCTGAAACGGTTGTCAGGACTTTCACAATTACAATAATGTGCCTGCAAATTACGAAATTATTTCAGTCCACTGAAGCAAAAAAGTTTGCTCTGCACAGGGAAATAAAATATGGCTTTATTATAAATAGTCAGAGCATAATTAATTAAGATTGCTACAAGCGTTATTCCACGACCAAGCACGTTCTTAATTGTAGCTACTGAACCGACACAAACTTCTGAAAATACTGCAGTGCATCGATCAGCTATCAATAAACATGTGTGCAGACGCTACTGGTACAGAGAGGGTAAACCACGGCTTCAAATCGACCTTTACTTTTGAATTTGCAGAATATTACTGTGACTTTAACAACAATGACAAACTAGGAGCGGTAAAATTTTCAGGATTAAATAGCAAGATAATTTCCTGATGCTTTTCTTTCTAAACAATCAACAGTATTTGTATTTCTATGGTTGAAACTCTTATGACACTCTAAGTGGCATGGCCTAAAAAATCCGAACATTCACACGCCTCATTACTATTGGATTTGTTCTATTTCTCGCGTTATAAGTCAGAGAGAAAACTGCATCTTTCCGTCACAACTGCAACAACTTTGCAGCAAATATCGTTGAAAACAATATAAAATCAGTAAAGGCCACGTCACGTCTGTTTTTAAACCGTTTCTAGTCTGTCTGACTTAATGAAAACTCCGTACCTGGAATTTTGCCTATCGTCACCGTCGTCATCTAACGTAATGGAATGTTCTTCGACGCCGCTTTCTCGTCTGTCATCCATGCCACCACGGCATGCTTTCATTGATGATCTGCGCTTGGGTTGGATGTCTGAATGATCCATATTCAAAGAAGGTAGATATATGTCTGCATTACCCTCAGCAGTGACTCACCAATAGAAAAACCACGATTGCAATAGCCGCCTTCAACGCTGCCAGAAAATGTCACGGTCCGCGCCATCTCGGCTACACCAGCATCCCCGCCTGTTCCGCAAGGCGCCTCCAACATCAGACTGTCAGCGCCGTCCGGAGATCCCATCGATCGATTTGACCAGTGTATGCCATTCACCTCTTTGAAGTCGCCACACTCCATTGCGCGGCGAATGACGGTGAGTTTGATCGAGTCGGCATAGGGGTCTAACGACTTCATTGTGTAACGCAGCTGGTTCAACGCGTCTTGATTGGACATGCCTTCCAAACTGCATTCGTTCACCGCTATCAGCTGGTCATCCACTTTTAGGCGACCATCCTAAAACAAATCACCGTTGAAAATGGAACAAAAAAATAGAGCAGCAGGACAATCAAACCAAAACAGTTTAAAAGTTCGGAAACTAACTTATACCAGTGCTGGGGACGGTCGATCGTGGTGACCGCCTTTTCTTAATTTGAAGTTCGAGAAACGCAGAACCTAACTTAATGAAGGCCCTTAACAACAACGTGATTCTTTAAATTGATGATTGCATCATGTATAAACAGTAACGCGAAATTCTGATGGGTTTTCCGGATAGCTTAATGCTTTCGTATATTCACATGAATTACGTAAGTAGTAGGGAAGTAAACTACAAAAAATACATATTTTAAACGTAATCAAACGAAAACGGTTGTTTTCGTTTGCTTTTACAGAAAACTTCACCACATTAAAAAAAATTTTGATTCCTACTTTTGTAGGTCATCATCTCTAACATTATCATGCGGCAAAAACTTTTGAATAAGTTATCTCTAATTAAATTTGATAAAAGTATGCTTCATTGGCTTAGCGACTACTTTAATATAAAAAAGCAATTTGTGACCATCGTATCACATAACTTATGTCAAGTCAGTTTCTCTGGCTGGCAGCAAGGCGCCTTATTATCTCCCACTGTCGTCATACTGTACATTAGCGACCTGAGGATCATTAATGAAAAAAATTGATCGGCTGTTATCCACCACCATCACTAACATATTAAAATTAACAGTACATTACAAATCATCATCGTAAAAGAACTGTTTCCGCTGACCAGAAAAAAAACAAGCCATTGTCACTGCAAAGTAGGCACAAGGCAATATGACCAAACCTCAAAATAAAGACAGCTTAAAACTAAAATCGTTCTTTAATGACTGAAATCAGTGACACTGAATTAGATGAATAAACTGTTCAGGCAACAGAATACACGGTACCGGCTGAACGGTAAACGCTTAAAGTCAGACGACAGGTTAGACAAAACCTACCGTAGGTACCTACCTTATACGCAGCGCCTCCATGGAGGACCGATTTTATAAAAATGCCCAGGTCAGATGGATTGACGTTTTCAGTATTAGTGGCATTAGACGTAACGCGACCTTTGACACTGATACCCAAGCCGGCACTGCCACTGTCGTTTAACGGAATGTCAAAGAGAAGAATCCTTTTGGGTCGTTCGTATTTCGTGTCATTGCCGTTGATCTCCTAGTAGCGAATGTAGTCAATAAGCCGTCAACTCAGAAACCGAATTCTTCATAACAGGGGGACAGTCTCTGGTGCGGCTTCTTACCAGGTGTCGCGGCAAGATGGACGGAGAGTTGCATGACTCCTGCCGAGATACAAGCAGCTCTACGTAACGACCTTTTTCGATTGAACGCAGCAATTTCACTACTTCAGGTTGCGTCAGACCTTCGACTGGCTTTCCGTCCACCTTCAAGTATAAAAAGTCTATTGGCTAATGTGGACTATTAATAAGTTCATCCTACCTTTAAAACACGATCACCAGCCCGAAGACGACCATCTTTGATCGCCGAGCCACGAGGTAAAATGTTCTTTATGCATACGGGAGATTCCACCCCTTCAGCGGAAGCGAAATCTCTGCTAGTAAGTGTAAAGCCGAGGCCGTCCTCAGTCTTCAGCAGTTTTACAGTGATTTGCTTGCCAAGCTTTCGTGTATTTCCCTTTTGCAAGGCGGAGAGACATGTCTAAATGAAAGAAGATCGATCAATACACAGCAGCAACAGGTCATTTTAGCAATAATATTGAATGCGATACCTCGGAACCCTTCGAAGAAGCCAGACCAGAAGCGCCCTGCTGCTCTACGGCGGTCGGGTTCAATTCGTGCGACCCGGCGTTGCTCACGTAACGAAGAAGTTTCACCGACAACGGTTCATTGTTCGGTAAGTGATTAACAAATGATGTCACTCTATGAAAGGTACAAGTAGTAAGCGTCGAGAATAAAACTCAACACAATCTATGATACCCTTCGAACGTGTCAAACGATGCCACGCGTAGACCGTTCAACTCTGTCAGTTCGTCCCCGGCAATTATTTGATTATCAAGACCGAATCGACCATTGGCGATTACCCGACAAACTCTGATAGCACATAATCTGTAAACGAAAACTCCTTACACAGTGACATTAAGAGCAACAGGATCATATCCAGATAAAATTTGAGCTTGTCAAAAGGAATTAGTTCTCTAGACCCACTGGCCTACGTACGATGCAAGGAGAATGACTTTTATATAGCTAAAGGAACATGCGCTCCAAAAACAACCTCTTACTACAGAACGGATACAAGTACAGTAAATGACATGCACTGCTATATCTGCCTAATTACCCATTATTCTTTACAATGAGCGAAGCACGCAAAATTCAAAAGTCGAAACCAGCTGAAGCAACGAAACGAACTTGTGACTAGGCCCATGGCTTTGGCTGTACAGTGAACATCTCAGAGTAAATTCAGTTTGGCTACTGCAATGATGACGATACAAAAATGATAAAAATGAACATTACAGAAATGTATAATTTTTCTACGTGGGAACGCCCAGATAAGTATGCAGTGAGGATAATTGCTGCTGGTGTCTACTGCAGAAGTCTTGTCGTATTCCATTCATTACATCAAGCAGACCGGAATCAGACGTGGCTGTGAGTTTGATTCTATATAGCTCGCTACTATTACATATCAGTAAAAAACGACCACCACGTAACACGATGATATAAGTAAAATTGTCGACACAGACGTACATTCGCTAACTGCACAGTCTGTCGAGCGAACGAGCAAGCGACCACAACCGTTTGCGCCAAAACATAACAAACTGCCAACGGACAAATCACAACTGATCATGGTGTGATCAAATATAATGACCGATGCGTAATAAGGTTATCAATGGTAACGGTAAAGGATCTGCTGCCAGGTCTTAGGACTTTGACACGAACACAAAATTCTGTACAATACGTACCTTCCGCTGGTGTCCAACATAGTTTCGAAGTCGATCCCAACAGGGCGCCAGAGATCACATGGGGAAACACTGAATTCATGTTCCTGTTTCAGTCTGAAATATGTAGGTAAGAAAATGAATGTTAGTGGCCAACGAACGGCTGTCGTTTACCCAACAGCGGAACTAGAAGAGGCAACAAGTGGCCTTGGCAAACCACTGGCGTGTGCCGGTGCGTTTCCGTACTAAAAGAACAGCAACCATATCTGGCGTATCAGACGGCGATGATCGACTACAAAACAACGAACCTTCACGTAATACTCGCTGCTGGTTTCGGCGGCGATTTCCAGCCACTTTTCGGTCAGGCGCGACTTCCGTAGAGAGCTCCGGAAGAATCGATTATTAACAGCACGGCTGCCGGCAGGAAGCTTCTTGGACAGATGGCCATTTTTATCCGCCGCCGTATCCTTTTGGAAAAGAAGGTTAGCATGCGAGTAGGTGGAATGCAGAAAAGGTATCAAAATACAACACAAAAGACAGGTGCAACATACAAGATCAATGCTTTTGCTGATCACCGGGGCGACGCTGCCGCGATCCGTCGAGAAACCACCAGCCGTCTCTTTGACAGATGCTTCACCGGATGAAACGCCATATTTCTGTTTGCCAGGTTTATCGTTGCAAGACAACGACGGGTCCGAGCCTCTGCGTACCATCAAAGAGCCAGAGGCTAAACAAAAAAAACAAATCGAATGCAATTGATTAGTAACTCATAACGGAACCGAGACTGAACATTAATTGAGGATTATTTGCCATAGCAGCCAAAAGTTTTCACGTTAACAGCTGACTAAGTGATCAGAACTGCGTTGACGAAGCAGTACGATAGCTCTTCATTTAGTCCGAAGAGCAGAAGTAATTTATATACACAACAACAGGTAGCAAGGGCCACCATTCGGGATGAATAAAATTTACATTTTATTTTATTTTCTATACGGAAAATTCCACCCTGTGATCGCAATGATTGTGCTGCTCAAAAAAGTCGACTGTTCCTTTTCTTCCTTCGCATTTTTTTCTCTTCACCTCTTTGCTCCGCTTGCTTCTATTTTTTCTTACTTAAATCAATCAAGATCATTAGTATGAGCAATGGTAGTTAGCACCATCACAAATTAGTCTCATCGCAGATCGAGTAAACAAGAATAAAGTCAATAAAATAGTTCTTCTGGTTGTTCCTGTGTCATGTATTCAGTGTCGCTTTTCCCTTATTTATGCTCATTCAGTTGTTCTACCTCTTTCTGTTCTGTGCCATGATCTTCTGGTTACATTTGTTCGTATTTTGTAATCTATTCACCCTCACTGTTTTTCGTGTTCTCTATCTTTTTCACTTATCTTGTTCTTCTCCACGGATGATCAGTAGACCAGTCAAGCCTATTCGCTGGTGGTCGCTATCCGCACGAATCATAAACTAAAACTGTTCTAGGGGCAAAAATAACGAATCATCTATTTCCAGTTTTCTTTGCAATTTTCACTATTGTTCTTGGCCCTTTCCGTAGCTGCGTTCTTCTTGTTTTTCCTCTTGTCTTTCCTGCACCCATGTCTGATTGACACTGTCTTCTTGCAATTTTCTTTCGCTCTCACAAAAGAAGACGAAACAACTACTAATTTTTCAGCTGACGGGCAGAATACCCTAAGGGCGGCCAAGAATGACCCGTGGCAAATGTCTTGAAGGATTGTACTTAAGAATCCGGTTACGTTCCACCAAAACTCAAACAATGACACAAGATCGGGAACATTGGAGATTGTGTAAGATGTGTGTCTTCGCGATCCGAAAGCATAAGCGGTCATCGAGACTGAATGATTGACAGGTTATTCTCTTCGTTCATCATCTTCATTCTGTTCAGTCAACGTTTCTTCGTCTTGCATTTTCACTTTTGCCTCATCTCGTTTATTAGCATCTCTTCTACTTGTTTTTCTCATTTCGCTCTTGTTCTTTGTTCCAATGATGAATGTTCTTTAGAAAATCAAATTTATAAGCTCTCATCACAAACCGAAACCGTACAACAGGCAGATCATAAAATTCTGCACCGCTGGTGCTGAAACGCCATGAAGCCATGGCCTGCTTGAATGGTCCCCTAGGTTACTAGAACCCTGAGGATGGAACAGTGATGCCGGAAGAATTTGCAGAAGTGACAGCAGATAGTAGGATTCATTCTCTTTCCATTTTATCACCGCCCTTAGTCTCATTTTTTTACTATTGTTATGTTCTTTTGGTTTTCCGTATTTTTCTTGTTGCTATCTAATTGAAATCTTTCTCCTAGATCATTTTGTTTCTTTTCACACTATTTTCGAAGATTCTTTTGCCAGTTCTTTTTTATGCTTATCTTCTTGTCTTCCAAACAAACTCATTAACTTAATGAAAGATGAATGCCACTGCACAAAATGATTCCATCACAAATCGAAACCGCACAGCGGTTGCTGGATCATAGCATAACATCTTTTGGTTCTCTTTCTCCTGCTCGCTCTGCCTCTTGTTCTTCTTCCCCACGTTATTATCGAGAACGATCTGTTTATTTTTGCACATCGTTCGTGCTATTTTTCATGTTTTGTTTATTCTTCACCTCCTTGTGTTATTGTTGTTTATATTTTTCTTCCCTTTTTGACATCCTCTTCTACCTTCTCATGCATCAGCTTCTATTCTGCCCTGTTTTTAATCAATCGATCAGGTGTTCTGGTTTGAAAAATGATGGCTGACACCTGGGCGAAAAAGTCTCATAAGAAATTCAAACTGCACACAGAGAAAAGATAATGATTCTTCTTTCTTGATGTTATTCTGTATTCCCTTTCTGTCTTTTAGCACCTTGTTTAGGCCCATACTACCGCAGACAACGATGACACATGTCATAGCATAGGCCTATATGGCAATGTTACACCGCCCTGTTGATTCTACACCCCTGGGGGGGGGTCTATTTAAAGTCACGGCATTTGAGTACCATCACTGCAGCCGCGTATCAACAAGGCATTTCCCCACCCCAACTAGAACTTGCACCTCAAACAAAATATATGCTCACGGCACCACGAGTAATGCTACTTAACCTGAAAGCATAATGTCATCTTTATCATTTAGCTGGTTCTTCAACTTTTGTTTATACTGTTCTGGTCTTCTCCTTCTTCTTCTTCCTCTTATACCATGTAGCCGTGACTTCATTAAATAGCCCCCTTAAAGGACTAGAAGGGGGCGGTGCAGTGCTGTGGTACAACCCGTTGTAAAGGCTTCTACCGGTCTTGTTCGATTACATTTTTGCCGTGTCAATTCGCTATCACTAGTACACATGTTAAATTTAAATACACTTTATGCACTAATAACAAAACAGTCACTAAGGGCACTATTCAGCTGCATGAGATTTGCTGTGGCTTTCATCCGCAACTTGTCTACATATTATTACTTTTGACAGTAGTTAAGTGGCTCATGCGAAGACAAGTTACAAGTACAAATCGGCAATGGGTTTACTCTTGGGTTGACGTTGTTTATGTCTAACAACTGTCATGCAAAAATGTCCCCTGTAATGAAAATAAAAGTTTGACTCCGACATGCAGTCTACCATACATCACACATGAGCGGTGAAATTTGCATACACTTACGAGGGAGGATGGACAAGTCATGAACGGCGACCGAGTTTTCATCATTCTTGATGTGAATGATGGTCGTGCAGTAGACACGGTCATCGGTGGTCGGTCGGTGCGCAGTCTTCGCGGTCTCTCTGGCGTTCACACGCACGACGTTGCTTTGGCTGCAAGCGGCACCAATGGAACTGACGCGATGACGCACAGAATCAGTGGATGAGGAAACGATTTTTGAACAAACGTTACTCGGATGCGACACACTACCTCCAATACCAGCGGTAGAATTGACAACGCCATTTGCAATGTTAGAACAATGGAGATGATCATTTTCTTTGAACGTGGCTACCACCTAAACAAGCCATAAATGAATTCATTTTTCTCTGCACTGTTCACAAAGAAGAAACACAGACGTTACAAGGTTTCCAGCCAAAAACGGCAAGCTTCATCTTTTCATCATTAAACGAATATTCTTAGACTTCATACATCTTAAACAATGCTCCCTCAACAAACCAATATCCTCTTCGCCGCTCGTAATTGTATATCAGAAACAACTTTACCTTCAACTTCAGTAGCACATCTACCGCCCGTGGATCATTTCACTTTACGCGGATAAAAACGGAAAGATAGAAAATTAACAACGGGACACCGAACATCGAACGGTGTTTCTAGCGACGTTCAAAAGCGTAAAAACGAGTTTTAACAATCTGATTAGTCGATGCTTAAGCTGACACAAAAAATCAGTCGCTGACCGGCCACGTTTGCCCTGCGATGCCAATGTAGAGCACCGTTCCAGGACACCGTAAAGAAAAGGCAACTTCTTCGAAGCAAATTCTGCAAGTGAAACAACACTGATATTCCGCAGCACCTCCGCTGATTCTCCCACTTTATTCAAAGTCTTCGTAAGTACTCATCACCCTTTCGAATTAACTAAGAACTGAGTCACAGTTCACCTGTTTTTTTGTTAAACCTGATCTGTTGTCACCTATGTGTTGAATGATAGACGATTTTACAATTTGGATCACGGATCTCTAACCACTAAATTTCGAATCTTCTGACTTAAATCAAGATGACTGACAAACGACAAGGACATAGGTGACTGACGCCAGTTTTACTCATTGTTAAATAACGATATCCAACGCATTAACTTTCACCCCAGTAAATAAATCTTTGAATTTATGATTAATGATCAGACGGACAATCAGAAAAGAAATATAATAACCAATGACAAAGCACCTGTTCCTTGTCTTCCAAGACCGCCGTAACTTTATCGTCCGGATCGAGAATGCCGCCATCGCTGATCGATTTGAAATGCTGCACATCGACCACTGTATCGCAAGGCTAAACAGGTAGCACATCGTTACTTTAAATTTAACGCAGTGATCATCTGATAAGCAGCAAAACAAAAATTATCATACTTAACTGAACATGTATTCACAAAGCAAACACAGAGCGGAGCGTATATTCAACCGAGAATGCTATCTGAAGAATGCCCCCACAATTCTACAGTAGCAAGTACGCCTGCTTCACGCACAGGCCTAAATGACTTTAAATACATAAAGATATCACCATCAAACATGCATCGAGTACCAGGTCTGTCTTCATGATCATTTTAAATTAGCAGCAAGTACTACTATGGAGAAGGGAAAAATCTAATAATATACAAATATCATTAAAGCATCAGTAACAACGTTTTCGATTCTGAGTTCGCTTTCGAATTGTAGCTAATAAGCTGATCGCGTTTCGCCGTCATGACACAACTACGAAATAATAGCAGTCCAATCATCAGCATTTCGATGTCATTCATTATCATCCATTTCCATATCTTAGTCACAATCCTCATAATAATAATCATCTTTAACATTGTCGCCGTTTTATCGATCGTTACTATCACTGTTACGGTCAAAAGCAGTAATCATTAACATCTTCATCTTCATCTTCCATCGCCGCTTCTCCTTTCGGGTCGCGGAGGCAGACGCGTCAGACAGAGCCTCCAACGTTC